CCATGTCAACACTTGGAGAACCTTTTAAGCTAAATGAACTGTCAGTTTTTTCCATACCTGCAGGGTTGTTTCCATGATAACAAGGGTTGTCCGTGGTAACATGGATCCCTAGCTTCTGAAACACTGAGCTAGCTAGTCGCCTCCAGGACGGAGTCATTGGACAGTGCAAATGGTTAATGCACTCGGCTGCTAACCGAAAGGTTGAAGGTTTGATTCCGCGCACAGGCGTCTTGGAAGAAAGTCCTGGTGATCTACTTCTGAAAAATCAGCCATTGAAAACCCTACGGAGCACAGTTCTATTCTGACATACAGGGGGTCTCCATGAGTTGGAATCAACTCAACAGCAACTACTAAGTGATTAGCCTCTAGGAGGCAATGAACTTGAGCCAGCTTTGAGAACTCCCTTCAGCCAGCATGGCAATGCCCCCTTGTGCTGCTGAGTTGTGAGATGTTCACCTCTTGGCTTATCCAAACAGCTAATGCCAGTGAATCCAAACGCTGGATTCCAAAGCCTTCCATGGTCTCCAATCCCATCTCTTCAATTACTTCCTAGCCATTTTCACTTCCCTCCCCTTCCCTATCCACCCCATTCCAAACAATTTATTTTCTCTCCCCATACAAGCTTTATCTCCTACCTTTTCTGTCTTTATTAATTACATCAACATTCTTTCAGTAATGCATATTTTAAAGTTTGGAATCTTACTTAATTCTACTCTTTTCTTCATAGCTGAGATCTATGTATCTATACACTGCTGTTACTAGCTGCCATCGAGCCAGCCTCCGACTTGTGGTGACCCCATGGACAATGAAACGCAATGCTGCTTGGTCCTGTGCCATCCCCATGACTGGCTGTGAATGGAACTGTCGTGATCCATAAGGTTTTCACTGGCATATTTTTGGAAGTAGATCTCTACGTCTTTCTTTCTAGTCTGTCTTAGCCTAGAAGCTCCGCTCAACCCTGTTTAGCATCAGAGCAACATGTAAACCTCCACTGACGGATGGGTGGTGGCTGCACATGAGGTGTATTGGCTGGGAATTGAACCCAGGTCTCCCACATGGAAGGTGAAAATTCTACCACTGAACCACCAATGCCTCACTTATATTCCTGTTGTTGTTGCTGTTGGGTTCTGTCAAGTCGGTTCCAACTCAAAGTGATCCTACGTACAACAGAACGAAACACCGCCATCCTCACAATCGTTGTTACGCTTGAGCCCATTGTTGTTACCACTGTGTCAGTCCATCTCATTGAGCGTCTTCCTCTTTCTCGCTGACTCTCTACTTCACCAAGCATGATGTCTTTCTCCAGGGAGGGGTCCTTCCTGATAACGTGTCCAAAGTATGTGAGTCAACGTCTCACCATCCTCCCTTCTAAGGAGCATTCTGGCTGTACTTCTTCCAAGACAGATTTGTTCATTCTTCTGGCCTTCCATGGTATAGTCAATATTCTTTGCCAACACCACAATTCAAAGGTGTCAATTCTTCTTCGGTCTTCTTTATTCACTGTCTGGCTTTTGCAGGCATATGAGACGATTGAAAACACCATGGCTTGGGTCAGGGGCACCTTAGTCTTCAAAGTGACATCTCTGCTTTTTAACACTTTAAAGAGGTCTTTGACTCTTATAGTCTTAGGACAGAATAAATAATTGTTGAGGTATGGTCTTTTTTGTTCCAGCTTCCCCATTTCCAATGTTTGTCTCATATCACTGCCAGAAGTGATCTTCCTTAACATCCTTGCTAATCATGCTATTTCCCCTCACTAAACATTTCCCTGCTACTCTGCATTGTTCTGCTTCCACTTTTCATCTCAAACTCCTCCCCTCCCCAAACACAGACTTTTCTCCACTGATTTATTTAACATATGCTTACATTGTACTTGGTGGTGCAGTGGTTAAGAGCTTGGCTGCTAACCTAAAGGTCAGCAGTTTGAATCCACCAGCCGCTCCTTGGAAACCCTATGGGGTAGTTCTTCTCTGTCCTACAGGGTCGCTAGGAGTCGGAATTAACTCGATGGCAACGGGTTTGGTTATTTGTTTTGGTAAATTATACTTACTATACCCCAGGAACTCTTTTAAATGCTTTACAAATATGAAATCTCTAACCCATGTAAAAACCCTGTGAGGTAGGTGCTATTATTACCCCCATTTCACACACAAGGAAACTGAGGCACAGAGAGATGTATGGATGTAAAGAGATGCCCAATGTCATCTTACTCTTTCCCAGGAATGCCGTATTTATTCCACTTGCCTTGTTGTTTCCATCACCTGGAATGCCACCCTATCTACCTGATAGTTGTAAAAATCCTATGCATCCTTCAAAGCCCAATTTCTAGCATTCTCCCTTTTCTTGACAACTTATCTTTTTTGAAACTCCAGGTCTCTTGATGTATCTCTCCTTTGATTCCTACAATACCCACAGTCTTTAATATACAAGTTGGCAGTTAATTACGTAGCTCTTATATCTTCCAAAAACAGCTGCCGTCCAGTCAGCTCTGACTCATGGCAAATCCATGTGTATCAGAATAAAACTATGCTCCATAGGGTTTTCATTGGCTGATTTTTCAGAAGTAGATCGCCTTTCTTCTGAGGAGTCTCTGGATGGACTTGAACTTCCAACCTTTTGTAAGCAGTAGAGCTTGTTAACCGTTTCCACCACTCAAAGACTCAATTATATAGCTCTTATATCTCCCTAAGAGTCCCTGGGTGGTGCAAACAGCTACTCATGCAGCTATTTACCAAAAGGTTGGAGGTTCGAGTTCACCTAGAGGTTCCTCAGAAGAAAGGCCTGGCAATCTACTTCCAATCAGCCATTGAAAACCCTGTGGAGCACAGTTCTACTCTGTGGATGCCATCAATTGGCATCAACTTAACAGCAGCTGATTTCTGGTTATTGGTTATATCTCCTTAATGCTTTATGTGTGGTAGTCTTGTCTTGGAGGCAAGAGACATGGCATATAATTCTTCCGCACCCCCTTCCCCCATGCTCCTTTCTTTGTCTGCCCTTGCTAGCTTCTCCTCTAATCAAACCTTGAACAACATTGAGTACGTGGAAGATATTCCACAAATATTGGATTGAGATCAGAACTCATCATTTCACAGGTAGAGTGGGGAAGACTTGTGTGTTAGTTTGCACACTCTAAGAAGCAGATATCAAAACAGGATTAGACTTATTTATTGCGGGAAATGCCTATGAGGAAAAGGGGAGGGAGCTGGTAGAGCTGGGGATGGTCTTTAGAACCTGATGCAGCTGTGACCCCTATGAAGGAGAGGGAGAAGGAAGGAGGGTTGAATAGGGAGAATCATGGACAGCAGCACAACTCTAAGAAGGTCTTGGCCAGGCCACTGTGACATCCTCAAGCTAAAGACTCCTCACCAATGAGAAGAGTCCCCATCTCATAGAAATGGGCTGCATGCGGACTCCTGTGAGCCAGGCTGGTGCCTAGGAGCAGCCCAGGGGAGGCGGGGCCAGGCCTAAGCATACAAGTGGGTTTGGAGCACAACACACGTGGCCTTCGGTCAATTATGCCCCGTCCCCAGCAGGAGGTCTGAGTGGTGCATTTCTGTGGTCACCGCACCTGGAATATTAGAAAGAACACCGGATGCAGAATGAGAAATCCTAACTTTACATTCAAAGATATCGCTAACTCTGCATCTTCACTTAAACTCATTTTAGTCCCTTCATTTGTAAAATGAGAATGGCCAGTACCTTGCTGGGCAATTGTGAGCACCACAAGTTGGCAAGTTTATACAGCCTTCTGTCTACACTGCCTAGGATTTCATCAGCTTGACTACTAGCCGAAAGGCTGGCAGTTTGAACCCACCCAGAGGTGCCTCTGAAGAAAGAACTGGTGATCTGCTTCTGAAAGCTCACAGCCTTAACAACCCTATGGAATGCAGTTCTACTCTGCACACTGGGGCCGCCATGAGTCCGAATTGCCTGGATGGCAGTTGGTTTTCTGGTTTACCTAGTTAGGGTAATACCTAACATCTCTGGAACGCGTCACAGGTCAAGGCAAACAGTTGTCCCAGTCAGGGATCCTGTGACAAAGGCAGGTCACCTATTGCCTCCACATCCGCCTGCTCAGCATAGCAGCCTTATTGGTTCTCTGAGAAACGGAATAGCTTTCAGACCGGTAGAAGGAGGCACTGGGGTGCTGAGTATCGGAGGGACACAGGACCCAGAGCACACGTGCCAGCCAGGGCGTGGTTAAAACTGTGGGAGCAGAGGAATCGATTTCCTGAGGCGTAAAATAAATTGATTCAGGTAGATGGGAGAGCTAGCCCAGAGCATCAGCTCAACCCAAGGACAGATTGGCAGGGTCCAGAGCCCAGCAGGTCATAGGTAAGAGCCACACCTGCAAACCTGAGACACAGGAAGTGAGTTCTGATCTGAGGACACGGACCAATTTGCTAACCGACTCCCCCATTCTCTGGTGTGCAAGTGGAAGAAGGGTGTATAGGCACATGCAGCAGATATGGGGAGAGGAGGAAGCTTTTGATCTGAGCTAGAAGCTGAGCTGTCTCTGAAATTTCCATGGAGATATAGCATTTGCTCTCACACAAGGGCCTTGCAGCATGCCTAAATGAGAGGATTTGCCTCATCATAAGTACAGTTGGATTTTGTTGGTGTAGGAGCAAGGAAGTCCCTCAGTGGTGCTAACAGTTAGGTGCTCAGCTGCTAACCAAAAGGTTGTAGGCTTGAGTTCACCCAGAGGAACCTTAGAAGAAAGGCCTGGCAATCTACTTCTGAAAGAAACAGCATTTGAAAACCATATGGAGCCCGACTTGACTCTGATACACATGGGGTCGCCGTGAGTCAGAATCGACTCAATGGCCAATGGTTTGGATGTAAGGGCAGAGAGCTCGAGCTTCAGGAGAGCCAGCTACCGTGAGCCCTCACAACAAACATCTGCGGAATTATCTTCTCTTCCCTGAGGGGTCCTGTGCACAAGACGAGTGCTCAGTTAATAGTCACAGAACTGACTCTTCTGTTCAAGGGGAAGCATGGGGAAGTTAAAGCCAGGGGCCAAGGAAACTTCTCACTCTTCCATGGAATACCAGGTTCCCTTACCCATAATCCCACTCCTGGCGCACGAGCTGCAGCACCGAGACTGGAAACAGCATGACCAGCGTGCTAGAGCTGCGCCTGCTCAGGTACTAGGGTCATAACAGAAGTCAAATGTGGCTGTGGGAGAGCTCGCCCAAACTGGGATCCGCTTGGGAGAAGAATGGGATGTAGCCCAATGCCTCTTCTTTACTTCTAGATGAAGTCCAGAGGTACCTCCTCTTCTTCCTCTTTCTTCCCACTGCTACATCCCACCCGCTCACGCCCCAGGGTTTACTGTAGAAGTCTAGTGGGGATATGGCAAGATCACGGAGTGGTCAGGGTAGGTAAGTTCCTTTTTTCCTACCTTGTGGGCTTCCTGGCATTTGAAACAAAACAATAAGTGCAAATATCCTTGATCAAAAGACCTCTGCCTCAAAAGACCAGCGTCTGAGGCAGGGCGTAGCGTTGGCCTGACTGGCCTGGAGTCTGAGGAACAAAGGGCCTTCAGAAGTGCCGCCTCCCTCCACACACATCCATCAATTTTAATTAGCACAAAGGCAGGTCCCATTTCTGTGTGAGAGGAGGAAATAGCAGATCTGTAGAAGACAAGGCAAGGAAATCCATGATCTGAGTCCTAAAAATAGCCCCGCCACCTCACCACCTTGGAAAACAAGGCGCCTGCCAGCTGCCGAAAGCCTTTGTAGCAAACATTCGCTGGAGCGGTGGTTTGCAGAATAGATCTGAGTTGTTCCAGCCTCCGACTCCATGCCTGGGCCTTAAATGGAATCGCTGTCTGTGGTAACTTTTGACAGGAGCTGGCAAGCTGAACCTGTCTTTGAAATTTAGAAGGGGGCATAGCATTTGCTCTCACACAGGGCTTTGCAGCATGTGTGAGCAAGAGGGTTTGCCCCATCATCAGGAGGGCACATTGCATAGGATGCATTACCAATTGGAGGAGAGAGGGGTTAAAATCTTGGTAACAGAGTGAATTGTGAGAGAAGAAACCATGAGAACATGTCATTTTGCCCATCATACCACATCTCTGATGGCAGTGGTGTTGTGTGCCATCGAGTCGATTCTGACTCATAGCAACCCTACAGGGCAGAGTTGAAGCTGAACTACCTCATAGGGTTTCCTACACTGTCATCTTTTTATGGGAGCAGATCACCAGGTCTTTTCTTCCGTGGAGCCACCCACGTTTTTGTCAGCAGCCGAGAGCTTAACCATTGAGCAACTGCCAACAGGGCTTCTTACTACATCTCTACTAAACAAACAAAGCTGAAATTTTAAATGTTGAGAGAGCCGTGAAATGCAGTGTGAAATTGTGTCATGCCCAGTTTCGCTGTCCCCAAGGCAGATGTGTTGTTGTTGTTAGATGCACTCAAGTTGGTTCTGACTCACAGCAACCCTCTGTACAACATAATGAAACACTGCCCAGTCCTGCGCCATCCTCACAATCATTGTTATGTCTAAGCTCATTGTTGCAGCCACTGTGTTAATCCATCTCGTTGAGGGTCTTCCTCTTTTTCACTGACCCTTTACTTTACCAAACATGGTGTCCTTTTCCACAGACTGGTCCCTCCTGATTACATGTCCAAAGTACATGAGACAAAGTCTTGCTGTCTTTGCTTCAAAGGAGCATTCTGGCTGTACTTCTTCCAAGACCGATTTGTTTGCTCTTCAACAGTCCATGACATATTCAATATTTTTCACCAACACCATAATTCAAAGGCATCAGTTCTTCTTCTGTCTTCCTTATTCAGTGTCCAGCTTTTGCATGCATGAGACAATTGAAAACACCATGGCTTGGGTCAGGAGCACCTTAGTCCTCAAGGTGACATCTTTGCTTTTCAACACTTTAAAGAGGTCTTTTGCAGCACATTTGCCCAATGCAATATGTTGTTTGATTTCTCGACTGCTGCTTCCACAGGCGTTGATTGTGGATCCAAGTTAAATGAAATCTTTGACAACATCAATCTTTTCTCCATTTATCATGATGGTGCTTATTGGTGCAGTTATGAAGATTTTTGTTTTCTTTATGCTGAGGTATAGTCCATATTGAACGCTGGGGTCTTTGATCTTCATCAGTCAGTGCTTCAAGTTCTCCTCATTTTCAGCAAGCAAGGTTGTGTCATCCGCATATCGCAGGTTGTTAATGAGTTTTGCTCCAATCCTGAGGTTGCATTCTATCCTGTGATCTCTGGCGTCATTTCTATCACCAAGGCCATATTTTCCAACTACTGATCCTTTTCCTCTCTTTCCAACCTTTGCATTCCAATTACCAGTAATTATCAATGCATCTTGATTGCATATTTGATCAATTTCAGACTGTAGAAATTGGTAAAAATCTTCAATGTCTTCATCTTTGACTTTAGAGGTTGACGCGTAAATGTGAATAAAAGTCGGATTAAGTGGTCTTCCTTGTAGGCATATGGATAATTTCTTATCACTGACAGCATTGTACTTCAGGATTGTTCTTTTTGATGATGAATGTTATTCTTCAATTTGCGTTCCGGCATAGTAGACCATATGATTGTCTGATTCAAAATGGCCAATATCAGTCCATTTCAGCTCACTAATGCTTAGGATCTCAGTCTTTATGCATTTCATTTCATTTTTTGATGATTTCCAATTTTCCTAGGTTCATACTTCATACTTTCCACTTCCCGATTATTAATGGATGTTTGCAGCTGTTTCTTCTCATTTTGCTATGTGCCACATCAGCAAATGAAGGTCCTGAAAGCTTAACTCCATCCACATCATTAAGGTCAGCTCTACTTTGAGTAGGCAGCTCTTCCCCAGTCGTATTTTGAGTGCCTTCTAACCTGAGGGGCCCATCTTCCAGCACTATATCAGACAGTGTTCCTCGGCTATTCATAAAGTTTTCACTGGCCGATGTTTTTATAAAGAGATCACCACGTCCTTCCTCTCGGTCTGTCTTAGTCTGGAAGCTCTGCTGAAACCTGTCCACCACGGATGACCCTGCTGATATCTGAAATACTGGTGACATAGCTTCCAGCATCTCAGCAACACACAAGCCACCACAGGGTAACCAACTGACAGGTGAGTGGTGACCAAGGCAAATAAAAATCTTGAAAAATAAATGTTTCCACTTACTTCTGAATTTTCACGAGTTACACTTTTAGTCATACATTCTCTCTAAGATTACTCACGAGTCACTTAAATGGGAGTCATTAGCATGAATGAACACTCTTTCTTAACAGCTAAATCACGGGAGGAAATTAGTTGTAAAGCCCAGTCAGATGAAACAAAGCCGTGAATAGAATTTACCTTCCTCTAAAAGAAACTTGGATGGCATATGCAGTTATGTATTGAGGAAAATTAATACGGTGGCTGATTATCAGGAAAAATAGACCAAAGTCTGCCCACTCGTAAATTCACAAACAGTCTTCAAATAGAAAACCCAAGTCTGAAACCTCGAGGAATTGTACAAATGTCTCATAAGACAAGATTTGGCCCAATGCCTAGAAGCTGATGAGGCCATAAACTCATTACTCAGAAAATGAGCCGTGAGCCAGACCCTCTTTCTATTTCATTTCACTGCAGAATACAGACGTCTTCATCTGTTTCCCTAACCCCACCTCCTAGCATTAGGAGGAAAACGCAATCCCTGGGTGTTCACCTTTGGGAACCTGACATAGATTCAGCCAGTAGTCTTTCATCCCACGTCCTGGTTTTAGCTGTAGCTCTCCTCGTTCGGTCTGGCAGCACCTCAGCAGTTAATGAGAGTGATTCAGATGATCCAACTCCAACTCCTGCTATTTTGGGAGACTTTGCTTTTCTTAGCCGTGGATTTCTTCTGTCTAAATCTGCCCGACTGAATTGGAAGCTGCCCAGCAGCCTCTTCTTTGGAGATTACATGTGTGCATCAGGGTATATTTGTCGCCCCGCCCACTCTCCAGCCATTTTTCGGGAAGAGCAGGGCGAGTCATGTGACCGTCTTCAGTGTATTTGCACCCTGTTTTGTTTAAAAAACATAATCTGCATTACAAATTGCACCAATTCCTGTACGCGGTAAGTCATCATTCAATAAAAAGCACAAATGTATGCCTGTCACATTCAACATAATAAACTGCAAGTAAATACATCTTTTCTTAGTCCAAATCAGTCAGTAAATGATGTCTGTATTTTCTCTGTTATGCACCGAGTTTGCAATCAGCTTGATTCTTGATTCTCTCCGGCCAAGCCTGCACAGCTTACCAGCAGTGGAAGATTGCACTTCTGTCTGAAGCATTTGGACCCGCGTGGACGGTAACGCGGCTAAAGCAACTCATTTCTGTGATGCTCTTTGACAGCTCTGTTTCATCATCATCGCTCACATACTACCATCACCTTCATCATAACCTCCATCTAAAAAAGATTTATTACACAGCGTCTACATCTGCAGGCAATACTGTAATACAGACAGGACATTCCTCCCTGACTGCTACCCACGGGTTTGCAGTTGACAAAGGAGTGTGGTAGAGAGGAATCACGTTGTACTTGGAAGTGAAATAAAACTGGATTCACATCCTAATCCTATAACTCATTGCTGCTGTTGGCTGCCGTTGAGTCAGCCCTGGCTCAGAGCATCCCGGTGCACCATAGGATCAGACCATGTGACATTTTGTGTGTGTTTGGAAACATGTATGTAACCAAACATCTGCCATTTCAACAATCTTCACAACTACATATTGGTGTCATTTGTTGTGTTCATCAAGTTGTTTGCAAACTTTTCTATGACCCTTAACAGAAACTCAGTGTCCCCTAAACATTGAGCCCTCCTTTCCCCTCCATTCTGCGCCTGGTAACTACTGATAAACTTAGGTTTACACTTGCCTATTCTAGATGTTTCATGTAAGTGGGATCATACAGTATTTGTCCTTTTGTGACTGACTTAGTTCACTCAGCGAGATGTTTTCAGGGTTCTTCCCTGTGGCCGTATGCGTTAGGACTTCATTTCTCTTCACAACTGAGTAATATTCCATCGTGTGTAGGTACCACATTTTGTTTATCCGTTCATCTGTGGATGAACATTTGGGTTGTTGACACCTTTTGGCTGTTGTTAACGGTGCTACAGTGAACACTGGTGGTCAAGTATCTGCTT